GGTGTTTTAAACGTTTGTTTTTTTTTTTTTTTTTTTTTTTTTTTTTTTTTTTTTTTTTTTTTGCGGTACGCGGGCCTCTCCTGTGGCCTCTCCCATTGCGGAGCACAGGCTCCGGTCGCGCAGGCCCAGCGGCCATGGCTCACGGGGCCAGCTGCTCTGTGGCATGTGGGATCTTCCCGGACCGGGGCACGAACCTGTGTCCCCTGCATCGGCAGGCGGACTCTCAACCACTGCACCACCAGGGAAGCCCTGTTTTATGATTTCTTTAAAGGATTTTAAGCTTAGGAAGTCATCCTTGGTTTTAAATTCACAGATATAATACCTTGTTTGAGTGGGCATTTGGAAAAGGATGTTTTAAAAATATTTAACTTTTTAATATATCTGGGATTTATTTTGTTATACACTATGAAAGATGGGTCTAAATTAATTTTATTTCCCTTAAATTCCTACCCAGTTATTCCTGCACAAGTTAATGAATAGTTCTTCCTTTCTTTTGTTGTCACTTTTGTTTTCTAGCAAATTCTTGTATGGAAAAAAATCAATTCTGGACTGTCTAATGTGTTCTATATCTTTATATTTTTTCTTCTTTCTGTAGTGTCTTATTTTAATTATCATAGCCTTATTTTTTTTTCACCATATAGAGTTTATTTTCCATATAAAAGGGCAGAAGCGAACATGTGAGCAAAAGGGTAAAAAGCGTGGAGCTCGTGTGGGAGACCATGAGAGGTGACTTGAGGCTGAGGGTGGTGAAGGCTGGTCCAAGGGGAGAATTGGAGGTTGTGATGAAGAGATGGGGTCAGATCCAGGCCCTCTCCTTCAGGCAGAGACCATGAGACATGTTGATGCCAAAATTTATGGGATATAGCAAAAGCAGTTTTAAAGGAGATTTCTCACAGAAAATGCTTACTGGTCTTGGAGAGTTTCCCAGAGAGGCATGGGGTGAGGGATGGTGACGACTGCAGCTCACCCTGGGGACAGAATCAACTGGCGGCAGCCACCCTTGGAGCTCTCCCCACCGTGTGGACACTGGTACTGGTGGGCACCACTCCCTCCAGCTCAGCTTTATGTTGTATTTAAATATGTAGTGTGGCTAGACCCATTCATATTCTTCATTCAAAAATTTCTTGGATAAACTTATCAATTTTTTCTTCCTGAGAACATCAGAATCTAGTCAGATTCTCCAAATTTTCATAGAATATTTATTGGACTTTTTGGAATATTTATTGGACTTTTGTAAATCATTATGAGGATTGTAATGAGTTTGTGTATTATTTATGTATGAATTTACACCCATTTTCAATCAACTTTTGATGTTTGTGACGACAGAACACAGATTAGAGTCAATGAATTAGTCTAAAATAGTAACAAAGACATTTTATCTCAGTTGCCTCCTTCACTTGAGCAATTCATAGCCAAATTAAATGTAATCCCCTTTCACTTTTGCACCTAAACTTCTGGTGGAGATGTAACCCAACAATCAAGGATCCAGTGACTGGCCTCAGGGAGCAGAATAAAAGACACAATGATAAACATTGTCAGTGAATGGATTTGGAAACACTTGAAGGGTAATTCACATTTCAACTTTTATTTTAACTTTCATTTTAATACCTCAGTATTTCACATGGAAACCCATGATCCCCTTCTGCAAGAATTTTCACCTGGGGTGTTTACAATTTTTTTTTCTTACTTCCTTTGCCCTCTTCATGCTTGTGGTATCTGTACAGCAAGTTCTCCTGGCCCTAATTCTTAGTACTCTTGAAACTCTCCTGACAGCAGAAAGCAGTGATCAGACAGGTTGAATGATTCAATGGAAATTTAATCTGATCTCATTTTAGCTACGTGTAAGAAGCAACCTGCTGTGAACTAGAATTGTAATGCTGGAAATTATCTGATTCCTACAGGGCTCTCTTCCTTCTCTGCCCTGGTGAATGACTACTAAAGGAATTTAAAGCATGTAAAACATGATAAACATTGATTTGTTGCCTTGGCCATTGAACTGGACATGTTGCCTTCTTGCAGGTAAAACTGAGGAGGAGTATGATAGATTCTAAATTTTATTTATAAGGGTGAAGCTTTTAAATGTACTCACTTAAGTTGCTTCTTGAGGCAGTAATGTCCTATTTCCTTTAAATTAGACTTCCAGCTTTGAACCCAGTTTATAAAGCAAAGCAAAATGAAACAACAACCTAGACAAAGAAACCTCTGTCAGTAGAACACTTCAGCTGCAAAGACTGATGACCTGAAGAATAGGGTTGACAAGATGCGATTGGTCAGTTCACTGCTCTGAAGGAGAGGCATCCTTTATTTGTGGCTGCCTAGGGAAGGCCAGTTACAATGCAGAAAAGCTAAGAAATGGTAGGAGAAAGTGGAGAAACAAACAGGAAAAGAGTGAAAAACTGGACATAAGAAAAACGGAAGGTATAGAAGAAACAGCAACTTTTACAGTTGATTGTGCCACAGTTCAAGAAGAGTATAGCGACCACTGTTACATTGTTGGCGCCCCGTGATCTCCCAGTATTTGCCTCTGTGTAGTCCTCTTTCTTAGAACCTGAGTTGGGAGTATGACTTATTTTAATTAACTGGAAGTGGCAGAGTGATGCTCTATCAGTTCTTGTTCTAAGCCTTAAGAAGTTCTGCTTTTGTTCTCTTCAGAGCCATGATCTGCTTTATAAGAATTCTGTTAGCCTGCTAGAGCTATGTGGAGAGGCTGTCAGAAAAGCCACATAAGAGGGAGAGGCCCTGAGAGACAAGCCTGGCATCCCAGTGACTCAGTCAAGCCCAGGCCCCTGCTGACCTGCCACCTGGATGAATCCACGTGAGTAGCCATCAGTAAGCTCAGCAGAAGGGTCACCCAGCCAAGCCCAACCCAGATTGCAGAATTATGAGCAAATAAAATGTTCATTGTTTTAAGCCACTAATTTTGGGGGTGGTTTGTTATACAGCAAAATATAGCTCCTGGCATGTTAAAATGAAGTCAGTGATAAAGACCCAGTGACTCTACTCTCTGAGACAGTATTGTGTGGATTGAAGATGCACGTCTGGGACCAAAGCAAGCTTGGTTCAAATCCTTACTTTTTCACTTTTTAGCTCTTTGGCCTTGGGCAAGTTATTTAATCTTTCTGGGGCTCAGTCTTGTTATCTGTGAAGTGAGAGAAATATTTCTTCTCTCCCAAGATAGTTAAGAAATGAGATGAGTGAAAGTTTGGGGCACAAATTAAGTACCCACCAAATCTTATATTATTTGTTATATTCCATTTCCTTCCTGTCTTTCCCTCACCCCCTGAGGGGATAAAAGTGATCCAAACTACGCTAACTCTTTAGGGTAGCCCTGTGACCTGCTAAAGGCAGTTCTGTCATAGGTCAGTTTTGCACTGCGTATGTATATCTGACCAACAATTGTTGTGTTTATATGAAAAAGAGGTAAACTCCTAAAATACAGGTGATGGATTTTTAAAATGATAGCAGGTTTGTGGGGCACTGCTGGAGACAATGCACATTTGTGTCCATGTCCCAGACCACCTACACCTGCTCCTCTGCAGCACCACAGCTGTTTATTAGACTAAGCTGGGGTCACCAAGGAATGTTGAAGTTACATTCAGCTTATTTTATTGCAGAAGGCATGAAGGCACATGCTGTATTTCCATTCGGTTTTCACAAAAAAGCATTACTATCTCAATGGTTTGTGAAGTTCACTTAGGCAAAAATTGCAGATTTCGAGGTAGTACTGCATAAAATTTGGTGTTTGTTGAGTCCTTGTCTTCATATTGGAAAGAAGAAAGTCCTATATTGAGTGACTAAATTATGTGCAGACACCAAGAGAAAACACACACACGCACACACACGAAAGAAAGGATTAAGGAAAAAAGAAATAAACCTGCTCTGGCCTCAGTTTCCAATTTGTAAAATGAGAAAGCCAGACTAGAAGGTTCTCCAAGGTCACTTCCAGCTCTGAGTTTTAGCAGACATCTCAAATTCTGTGCATTTATTAGCCCTTTGTGAGATTAAAAACACAGGTTGTTCTCCAGCAAAACTTTAATTGCAGAGCTTTAATTAGAAAAAAATCAAAATACTCTTTCAGATTATGCTTTTTTAATTTTAGTTTTAATTGTGTTTTTATTGTTTCCATATTATTTTAAAAGAGAGATGAAAGCTGCAATTTGACAAATTGCTACACCCGTTTCCTTGCCATATAACTGCCCTAGCAAGTTAACTTAAAACAACTTTCTAAAATGTATTTTTAATGAGAAACTCAGACCCCTGAAATTTGTATAAAACATTTTTTTCCTTCAGACTTCGTATAGGGCTGTAGAGTTTCCGTACCTCAGTGCCAAGAGCATGGCAGAGGAATTTGGCTCAGCTTAGTAATTACCTTGTGTTAGTCTAGCTCGAAGTTGTTTTTCTCTTAATGGCTTAAGAGAGCCATTCAAATGCTTTGATTCTAGTAATAAAAGTTCTAATGGGCAAGGTAGGTGAATGCCCATGTAATGTTTAGCCTATTAAACTGGCCATATCCAAAGCTTATGCAGAGTAAATTCTTACTAGGGACTTTGAATAAGGGCAGGTCAACGTGGAAAAAAGCATGAGAAAATAAGAGAGCTAAAGTAAGTCTGGGAATGTGCTTCCTCTCTCCAACCAAGATCCCGATTATAGTGGACATTTATTTTTGCCTTCTTTCATGGCGAGGGGGAAAGAGCTCCCCAAAGTCTCCCTGTGTGCTTCCAGAATGTTGATTCACCCACAGGCTTCACAGTGGACCATGTATACGAGACCACGGTTTCTCAGACTATCTGTGGTGAAGGACCAGTTTGCTTCATCTCCCACACCCCCATCCACTGTGGACTGGTACTTGTACAAAATCTGGTAAAAATGAATCACTGGAAAAATGACAGATGAACTATGACATTACAAAATATAAGCCTCAGTTTTTATTATTAAATTTAATTACTCTCTCAAATTGCAGTACAAGTTTCTAACCATCCTCAGTTTCTATACTTACCTTTTTTTTTTTTAACATCTTTATTGGAGTATAATTGCTTTACAGTGGTGTGTTAGTTTCTGCTGTATAACAAAGTGAATCAGCTATACATATACATATATCCCCATATCTCCCCTCTTGCGTAAAAATGAATCACTGGAAAAATGACAGATGAACTATGACATTACAAAATATAAGCCTCAGTTTTTATTATTAAATTTAATTACTCTCTCAAATTGCAGTACAAGTTTCTAACCATCCTCAGTTTCTATACTTACCTTTTTTTTTTTTAACATCTTTATTGGAGTATAATTGCTTTACAGTGGTGTGTTAGTTTCTGCTGTATAACAAAGTGAATCAGCTATACATATACATATATCCCCATATCTCCTCCCTCTTGCGTCTCCCTCCCACCCTCCCTATCCCAACCCTCTAGGTGGTCACAAAGCACGGAGCTGATCTCCCTGTGCTATGCAGCTGCTTCCCACTAGCTATCTATTTTACGTTTGGTAGTGTATATATGTCCGTGCCACTCTCTCACTTCATCCCAGCTTCCCCTTCCCCCTCCCCGTGTCCTCAAGTCCATTCTGTGTCTTTATTCCTGTCCTGCCCCTAGGTTCTTCAGAACCATTTTTGTTTGTTTGTTTAGATTCCATATATATGTGTTAGCATATGGTATATTTGTTTTTCTCTTTCTGACTTACTTCACTCCGTATGACAGACTCTAGGTCCATCCACCTCACTACAAATAACTCAATTTCGTTTCTTTTTATGGCTGCGTAATGTTCCATTGTCTATACTTATCTTGTTGCAGATGGTAACAAAAATGTGGAAACAGGCATTGGTCCATGGACCACGCTTTGAGTAGCACTGATCTAGACTAGGCCAATAGTATTCTCTGGTTCCCAGTAATTATTTCATGGGTGTTCTTATGACCTGAGCTGGTCCCAGTCACTTGAATGTTGGGACTTTGTTTGAGAAACTGGGACAACAATTCTGTTTTTCCTGGCTGGATGCCATCTTGGGACTATAAGAGAAGTGGCTTGAGAATGAGTCAACGCCAAGAAAGCAGAACCAAGAGGTAGCAAGTCAGAAGCTGAATCTGCTCCTGTGTTGTAGAGAAATAGAAGCCAATAAATTAAAATTTTTGCTCAAGCTAGAATTCATTAGGTTTTCTATCATCTGCAAGAGAAAGAGTCCTATGTGATATAATTTGCATGTTTTTCCCTAATTCTCAGTCACCTTGCCAGTCATCTTTCCAAAACAGAGATCTGGGAATGCCATTCGTCTGGTTATGAAAACCTTAGCTTCCCACTGCCTTGGTCCAGAGTTCAGGCTTCTTAAACTGTCATTCAAAGTCATTCCCAGTTGAGTCCCCTTCTTTTTCAGCCTAATTTTTTTTTCTACTCTCATCCTCAGACACATGCCCAATGCTTTAGTGTGACCAGACATGCACTTTTATATGTGTTATAGGTTTGCTCATGTTCACTTTGGCTGGATTGCACTTTCTCTTCCCACACCCTCTTCTGATTTTCTAAGAATAGGAACTTGAGAACATAAGGTGTTCATTACTTTTAAATGTTAAGCATTATGCACCACCATCATTACTGCTGACTCAAGGGCTAATTTTGAGAGTGTTGGCAGGAGGGCAAATTGATGCACCCAGACATTTGACAAAAACTGCATTTAGACTCCAAGGCTTTCATTTCATAGGGAGTCTGATATGGTTATATTACCAAAATCTCAGAAAACAACAAACTTAGACAAAGTGTCACTTTAAGTTATTGCAAAAATGAATAAGCAAGAAATGAAAATGTATGTCCACACCAAAATGTGTACACATGTTCATAGCAGCTTTATTCATAATAGCTGAAAGTGGAAACAAACCAAATGTTCATCAACTGATCAGTGTATAAACAAAATGTGGTATATCCATAAAATGAACTATTACTTGCCATGAAAACAAGTGGAGTACTGATACATGTTACAACATGGACTAACCTTGAAAACATTATGCTAAGTGAAAGAAGCCGGATACGAAAGGCCACATATTGTATAATTCCATTTATATGAAGGTCTGGAATTGACAAATCTATAGAGAAAGTAGGTTAGTGGTAACCTAGGGCTGGGGAGAGTGACGAGATTGAAGTGTGAAGGCTGGGGGGAACAGAGTTTCTTTTCTAGAGTAATGAAAATGTTCTCAAATTGATTGTAGTGATGGATGCACAACATTGTGAATATACTAAAAGTCATTGAACTGTACACTTTTAATGGGTGAATTATATGGTATGTGAATTATGCCTCAACAACGTGTTTATTTTTTAAAAAAGAGTTTATAGGAGCTTTATTCATAGGTGCCAAAACTGGGAAGCAACAAGATGTCTAAGGTGAATGGATGAATCAACTGTGGTACATCCAGACGACTGAATAGTATTTATTTAGCGCTGATAAAAATGAGCTATTAGGGCTTCCCTGGTGACGCAGTGGTTGAGAGTCCGCCTGCCGATGCAGGGGACAC